GGCTCCGGCTGGAGCCTTTTGCAGCACGAGACGGCTTATCGCAGTTATATCCTCTTTCAATTGCTTCACGGCATTGGTGAGTCTTCGGTGCTGGGATGTCTGGTGCGGTGTGCCCACATTTCCACAGTTGGATGACCGCTTCTTCCAGGATACACATGTCGATGAGCACAATTATCACAAAAGTAGCAAGAGTGATGGTTATCTGTTTGAGAGGATGGGTGTGTGAGTGTTAGATTTTTGATCATATTTTGTCCTCATCTTCAATGGAAGGAAGGCCATTTTATATCCCAGTCTACTGACAGAAAATTTATGCTCAAGACTGTGTCTGCCTAGCTCATAAGCATTCAAATGACTCACAGCAATGCACTGCCCTCCAACAGAGAAGGGAAGACAGTTGTTGCTTCGATTTTGATTTGATGGGCGTAATATAGCAAGCTGCGAGACCATACCCATGCTACGCCGCCATCCAGGCAGACACGGTCAAGTCCAATCAAATTCAGCTATATTATGCAGGGCTCAATCCCCCACAACTCCCTCTTGATATCTGCCTTAGTTGACCTATCGGATGCTCGAACGAAGGCTTGAGCTTGGGTAGGTAGTGGGTATCTTGACCATGGGTGTGCATGCAAGGCTTTTGAGGCCATGTATTCTATATTTCCTTTAATAGTGTTATGAGAAATAGGACAGCACCCGTGTCTATTTTGACAGTTTTGAAGTATATAAGGCAGCCGGAGAGCATCGACGGAGGTATTACTACCATCTGCCGTATAATTATCTGATATGAAGCCCAAGTGGCAGAAAAATAAGCTATGCGGGCCGCAGGTTGGGTGGAGCATACCTTAACCTTAAATAACTAACTAGTTAGTAGGCGAACTGCTCTGTAGTGAGCGAACGAGATAATCTATGTTGTAACTAATTTAGAAAAGCTAATGAGATTTCGAAGAATGTGACATGAAGTGCCCTGGGCAACCACCCAAGAGATTGTTATTAAGTGACACTAGAGTAGTATAGAGCTAATTAACTCGTCTACCACATAGTTTCAATAGTTGCCTAGTAAGCGGCTGTCAGGTAAAGGTGCGCGGATGTAAGTGACTCCGGCAAACTGTCCAGCCATAAATCTAGTCCAGCAATCCAATGCTGTCCTTTCAATGACTCTATCCTATCTTCAAACTCCGATAGTATTTCTTCCAACTTGAGCTGAAAACTATGGAGCTCCAGGCGGCGCGCTATGTTGCAGAGAGATGCGAGAACTACCCTTGTAATGTGGTCGTAGGTTGGAAAGTATTGACTTAACTTACGAAACGCCATATGCCAGTAATTATACGCCTGCCTCCAGTCAGATCTGGTATGAGAAGATTTCGCGAATAGAATTAAGACATGTAGCTCCTCCCTCTCGGAAATATGCGCCTGACACGCAACCTCGCAACAGATAAGCTGTGCTTCGGCATAGCGTTTTTGAGCAAAGATTGATTCGGCTAGTGCGAGGTTCAGAAGAGGTGCGGCCTTATCTTCCTCTTTAGCTTGTCTGAGAAGTTCTTTTCTAAGTTGGCTTTCAGCATATGCAAAATCACCAAGTTCTATTAGGGTGCTGCCGATATTGAAAAAGAGATCGGTGCGGTATTGAGTAAAGAAGAGTTTTGGTTGAATGCCAATAATCCGCTCTGATCTTTGAAGATGTGACCATGACTCGTTGAATCCTCCTCGATAACGGAGAAGTTCGCCCATGAGGAGATGTTTTCGAAATAATACAGTAGACTCGATTGGACTAGGATGCCGACTCATCGCTTCCCAGCCCTTTAACAATTCTATGGCCTTATCAAGTTCACTAGCTTGGGAATAATCCAGTGCACGCTGGATGAGGATGTGTCCACGTGCCCAGTGCGTTTTGACGTTGCGTAAGGATGGATATCGGCTCGCGATAGGGAGGATAGAGTTGAGGACCTCCTTAGCCTGGGCCACATCGCCTGTGAGACGAAGAGCAAGAGACTCCTTATGTGCAACATAATATTTCAGGTAGCGGCTTTTCAGTCCAATCATAAGTTCCTTAGCGTTGGCAATAGCGAACAGACGACCTTCAACGTCTGTGAATCTAGACGCTTCGAGTAAGCTGGAAATCACTTCAGCCTTCTTATTCGAATCTAGAGCCCGATATCTTTCGTTATTTTTTATCTCAAGCAAGGTGTGCTGCAAATGTGCGAATTCTGTAGACATATCCGTTGGTCTGAAACTGGTTAGTAGCTGTAATATGTATCCATAATCTAGGGCATACACACTCAGGCTCAAGATATTCCCAGGGAATAGTTTGAGACGCAAAGAGCAGAGCCTTTAATCTCCATAAATGACGCAACTCTAGAGGCAATGTTGCTAAAATCTTAGTTGAATAAACTGGGTCCATGCGAAAGGCGTTGCTAGGGCCGATTGAGATAGCCCCATCGAGTTGAAGTTCACGCAGTATAGGCAGTAACGCTGTCGAGTCTGCAAGTAAGAGGGCAAGCCCGGAATCGAGGTCTGCCTCAGTCTCGTCGATACCGCCAGAGTCTGTCCAACGTTTTCGAGTAGTGGCTCCGCGAGCGCAAAGGGCTAGAGAAATGTCATCCCGTCCAAGAAAGCAGAAGAGAACCAGCGCAAGACGGACACATCTAGAGTAACCTCCAAGAACTTGGGAAACTGCTATCAAAGTCACCTTCTTCAAGTGACGGTTAAGACTGGCTGTATTCTGGCTGCATTGAGCCATGGCTATTGGTTTGGCAAGTTACTATATTTTGCCTGTCGGTTGGTAAAAATATCAAACGTGTGAGAGAAATTAGTAAATAAGAAGCAGGACTGAAGAATGCTAAAAGAGATGTGGTAGCAGAGCTAGTTAATTAAAAGGTATCATTTCAGAGCCTGACGCTCTGTTGAGCAGCCAGAAAGAGGTAGAAACCTCAGCTGTAGGCGAATACTCATCTACAGGTCCTTTATTGCCAGTGATGGTAATGTCAAACTGAGTGAAATTGAGATTGATAACGTAAGAAACAATAGTGGCCTAACTGAAGGATAATTTTAGTTGGAGGTTTTGAATATTTTTTTGGTCTTTGTCGTTCTTTTGAGTAGCGGAAGGAGGTAAAGGCTTCACTTGTAGCTGGAGTACTCATTTATAGGTACTTCTATGCCAGTAATTGTAATACCAAACGAAGTGAGATTGAGATTGGTAATAAAAGAAAATGGACTAACTGAGGGATAGCCGGAGCCTCTGAATAGAACAAAGGAGTTTTTAACGGAGAGGGTATATCTGGTGGTTTGCCTGGAAAAGGTGTTATTGAGAATAGGTCATAGGCAGGTCCATTTTTAGTTTGTTCTTTAATATCAAAACCTGGTCATGGTATTTGATATTAGAAGCATCAAATATCACTTTAGGATAAGAATTAGTGCCGGCTGGGGTAATAATATCGAGGGACCCATGCCAATATGCTATAAACTGTTAGTTACTGAACCGCTAAACTGGGCTTAAAATAGCATCATAGACTCAGCTGATCTCTATTGGGTAGTTAACTATGACTTCGTCTGTGCTATCAACCATTGAATAGATCAAGCTGGCCAAAAGAGTCACTCAACAACTCGTAAATCGTCATTAGACTGCCCCAGGAAAATATGGTGTATGCCATCGGATCCATTGCTATGGCCATCAGTTCGAGACCACTCGGCCGTATCCCCGTGAACAAATAAACACAACCCTGCAGGCTAGCTCCGTCGGACAATGGGCCAAGAGTTCATGAAGTATTCAAGTCAGTCGTATGACGACGAGGCCAAATCGTATGATTTCTGGGCGTCAGATGTAAGCCCGGACTCATTCGGCCGTGCTGTTAATAGTTACCTGTCATGGCGGCAAAGACAAGGCTGACCGTTGGTTGAAGAGTCCTCTCGTCTGGCCCGAATTCTAATCCAGGGATTGACCAACGGCAGCCGGCCATGCAGAGTCGCCTGACAGCCTGCTTGATGCCGCCGCTTTTGCGAGCCACGAAACAGTAATCGAAACAGTAGTGCCTCGGTGAATTTCTGGGATTTGCATCTTGTGTATCATGGTCGATCAGGGCGCGGCACGGGTAGAAGGAGTCTTGGATAGACTAGCAGCCGCGATATTCTCCGGTGGTTGTAGGATATAACAGCCTAGGCAGATCGAGTAACAGAACCCGTCTTCGAGGGCTCGAAGGAACATCGAAGGAACATCTCTAGCGCGCAATAGAAACAATCTTGCATTGAGTCTCCAGGGAATCATGCTTTGATCCTCCGTCGGGATCTCCCATGCAGTAGTAAGGAAACAGCATTTCGAGATGCGGTTTTGATATCCACGAAACAGCCTAGGGATAAGCTTATAACGGCCACCAGCAAGGGTGTCTCCGCCGTCTTGCCTGTCTCTGCGTATATATCGAGGGACATAAACACCCCCGGGCGGCCCTGCTCGCGCTCTGCCGTCTTTCTAGTCCAACTTTTGGCCTGCAGGGCAAGACGTCAGTCAACCTGCTCAATAGTTATTAACCATCCCAGCCGGCAGTCAAGCCACAATCTCACCACTTTGGCCCCTCCACGTCTCTCTGCCTGCTGTCCGTCGATACGAACGAGCAGCAGCAAGCGAGCCATTCGCCTACGCAGCGTCTCTCTCGTCTCCTCGGGCTCTTTCACCTGGCTCCGGCCTGCTTGGCTCTCTTGGGCGGCGAATACCTGGGATCTCACGACCGCCGGGCCGTCCTGGATGACATCTCGCACGTAAAACGGGTCGACCGCAGTGCTGGGCGATATCGAGCTACTGCGTATTATTTCTCCTGGCTTCTGGTCCCTTCGCCGGTGGTGTTTGGTGATAGTTATTTATATTCCCGCCTAGTCGTTCCGTCGCTGGTCGAAAAAACATCCTTGCTGCTTTTCTCCAAACATATTCACATAACTATTCAGACACCTCCACACAGCAGCACAAGAGCACCGAGATACACCGCACCAGAGCAGCTACTGGCCTCTCGTCTGCACCCATGGATAGCTTTGGTGGTTTACCTCCTCCCAATCCAGTTGTTTCCGCGCCGTCGAATTCTGTCTTTGCAAGCCTGCATCGCAGAAGCCGCACCGCCGAGTCGCCTAGCTCAGTCACAAAGACCATAGAAACCAGAGACGCCGCAGCCAGGGAGGCGAAGCGGTTCCTCCTCCAGGTCGTCCGCAATGACTGGGCTTATCCCCCGCTACTGACACATGCTGCTGCTGCCGATGCTGCCGAACCGGACACCCCGCGGGCTGCTGAGGGCGCGCCGGCAGAAGAACCAGAGGAGCCGCGTGAGATCGCGTGGAGGCACCGGGAGATGGACAACTCGGGTTCAGAGTGGGAACATGGACTGGATGGTCCTGAGGGACTGGATCCGTACAGGTTTGAGTCGCCTGAGGCCGTTGCGCGGGGGTTATCGGACAGACGCAGGAAACGCCGCAAGATACAAGAGGACGAGATGAAGTGGAACGAAGGGCTGAGCCTCTGGACGGCAAGGAGAGACGCCTGGACGGGTGCAAAGGCGCCTGAACGGCCTGCTGACGCCTCTATGAGCGGTGCAAAGGCGAATCTCGAGGCGTACAGACAGTCTATAAGCAGCGAGGAGAGCTATAACGGGAGCTACGATACAGACCTGGTTGATACCGAGTCGCAATATACCCTCTCCCGGCCTGCGTCCAACGCCTCAGCCACCGGTCACGTCAAGCCGTCGGAGCCACCAGCCGATAATGCACCCACAGGAGACAATGTAGAGCAGCTTACCGTCTCATTGGATACAAAATCTGCCTTAGACTGTCAAGCTGCCGCAACGTCAGACGCAAAGCAAGGAGAGGATGACGATGATGAGTGCCTGGTGCCCATCATGGGACCCCTGATTCCTGACTCCAACATGCTACGAGCTGCTATCACTCCTAATGTCTACCCGGCAATCTATAGCAGACTCGTCATCCAGTCGAACACGCCCGCCGTGCCTATCAACCTCTCTCATATGACCCGAGCCCTCGTCCAGGGATGGAAGACAAACGGCGAATGGCCCCCAAAGCCAACGCCAACAAAGGATGTCCCTGTTATCAAAAGGCCGAAGCAGCCGGCTGTCAACACTAGTCTCAGTGCCAATGCCAATGCCAATGAACATGGTGAAATGCGGGATGGCAAGGGAAGAAGGCTGTCCGGCGTCAGCAATGCAGTAAAAAAGGTCCTCGGGCTGTCTTCGTTCAATTCCGGAAATAGGCTGCATCTACGCTCGAACAGCCATAGTGGTTCGGTATCCAGGCCTCCAACGGAGGATTCTCTTAACGCGCCTTGACGACGTCGTTCCCCGTGCTCCGGATGAAATGTGTTACGCTGTTTTATTGATGTGTTACGAGTTCCCTCTCTTTCTGTTTCTCTACTACTTACGTCTACACCTCTCGTTTCTTTCTCTACTTTCCATGGCTGGGATACCCTGTTGCCCTTCTATGTTCGAGTCAGATACCCAATAAGCAAACATATGGCTGTTTGGAGTTTGTTCTTTCAATATTGTGGGGAGCGTCATCCACGTTGATGCTCAATAGTTTGCCTACTTCTAGAGCAGGCCGTGATGTCAAGGGCAGCTCTTCAAATTGATTTGAAATTTACCATTTTCCTACCAGAGCATCTTGTCCATCTTCAAAACCAATGAACATAAATTATTTTTATGCCTCTCATCTAGCGCTATTAACAAACCCAAATGCATCGTCACGTCGTTAAGGCTAAACTTGAAAGAGTAGTAGAAAACAGGAAGTAGGAGAATGCAAAACTGACGCCCGTTAAAAAAGCTGTAGTGTCTCTATGGCGCCGAAAAGAGCCTGGACGGTCTGTATGAATGCCGTCTTTGCAAGCTCAACTGATAACGTGCCGGGGTTGACATCAATTTTTGTATATTGTTGTCCGCGTCGGACAAAATACTTCCCTTCATGTACTGCCCAGTTGTCTTCGAGCCATGATTCTAGTTCACGGGCCGCAAAGTTTCGAGACTCGGTGAAGAAAGCTGGAGGGCTGGCAATTTGAGACTCTAGTGAGTTGGTGAGATCACGGAGGTATGGGATCCTAGTAGCTGGTGGATCGAGGAGGGTAGACAGTCCGAATAAAGCGACTTGCCCGAAAAATTCAATGTAGGATAACAGGTCAGCTGCTTCCTGGCCCAGTCGGTCGAGGTAATCCACCATGGCAAGAGAGGCTATTATGCTCTCCAAAAGGGATGCGAGAGTGAGTAGCACCGATGATTCTTGCATTAGACCTGGATCGTTGATGGGATATTGCATGGCAGTGTAAACAGCGCCGAAATATGCTGTAATTGAGGTAATAGCAATGTCGATCTCGTCCTGTTTAGTGCAGTCAACAGACATTACTAAATTGGAGAAGATGCGAGTCGTAGCCTGGATAAGCGGACGGGCTACAATCCACGCCGTCGGGTTGCTAACTGACACCACTACATATTCAGGAATAACGCACTGCAAAAGAAAGCACCGGAGAGATGGTCTCTCGTAGCCTCCGCTCTCAGACGCATCTGACATGGCTTCGTAGAATTGACCAGCAAGATAACTTTGTTGTCCATCGACTGCTGCTCTTTCGGACACACCTTGGATATAAGTAACAAGCTGCTTTGCAAACCGGCTGCCACCGGATAACCGTCCTGCATATCTCTTGAGTTTGGCAACCACATAGTTTGGGTCAGATGCTGGTAGAGGGAATGATGCTGGATCCATAAAGTACTTGTCAACCGGATATATATCTTCAGAATGTACCTGCAGAAGCTCGACAATCCTATGAACGAAGTCAACGTAAGAACCTGGTACCACTGCCTTTCCAACTTCCTCGGAATTTTGTTTCATAGTCGCCATCATCGCCCGTATCATCTCCTGGTATGTTTCTCCGAATCCACTAGGTGCGTTGAGTTGGGTAGGCGGAAGTTCTGGCAGGTGCACCCGCATGTTCAGTAGCACGCAGGAAATAAGGGAAACTCGTCGTTGACAGAAATCCATCAACGTTATCTCATATTTGCCAGTTGTCCCGCTGGCTGCAAATGGTAAGTTTCTGAAGAGAGGGTTCTTGCGATCTTCATTCAGCAGGGCGTTCGTCAACTCATGTTGATATTTCAAGAATACCTCCCGTTCCACAAGTGAGGTGCCCCAGTAAGTCAACATATGAGGCCGGCACTCTTCATAAGACGTTGGATCACTTGAAATCAACCGCGAAATAAAGTACGGCATAAACTTGCGCGTTTGATCTGTTGGCTTCAACGCTGGCCAGGAGTCTTGGTCGTATCTATTGAAGTAGCTGCTCCATTGCCGCATACCATGCTTCACCCTAATTTGAGCAACGGCCAGCCAGCAATCAATTGTCTTTGCGAGGATTGAATCGTCGGGAGTCTGATCTACTCCAAAGCAGGTCGAAACAAAATGAGAAATTGCAGGTGCAATTGTACGATTCAGATACGACGAGCCGGTGCTAGCGACCTCTAGCTGCTCCTGACACAGATCAAGCCAATCATCTTGACTTTCATCATTGTTTTCGAATGGATCATCTGGGTCCTCGACAGTACTAACCGTAGCAGCTGTTCTATTGTCAGCTTTGGTGAAGGCTTTCAAAACATCCAAAGCCTTGTAGATTACCCCATCTCGCCTTTTCACCGTGGGATTGAAAAGCCCGAATATCCTTCCAAGAGGCATCTTCTCCATTAACAGCCCCGCCTGATCAACATTTCCTGCCGCATCGATAGCTGACTTCATACACACAAGAGCATCACTTATTAGGGATTCGGCGTGCCTCTCATTCTTTGCAATGGCGCCTTCAATGTATTGACGAGGAAAGAAAGTAGCAGAACCGGCCTCTGTTTCTATTTCACTCCGAGCTTGAGAGTGTAACTTCAATATATCTGCAACAAAATCGCCGTGCCATTCTGCAAATTTGCCCAGGTCTGGCGTATCTCTATCCTTGATCAGTGTAAACCTGACCAGCCTTGACCAAGAGTGGATGTTAATGCTGCATGCATCTTTATGAGAAGTAGGAGGATGCACTAGACGCTGGATCGTAGTAAGGTGAGGCCGACATCCCTTTGGCGCACAGCAATACAATGCACAGAGAAGATCATGATGGTTTCTCAACGCATTCAAATCTTCCACGCGTAGGGGTTTCTCTTTGGGATACGTTCGGCCATGATTAGGGAGCAGACGCCAAACTAAGTTGAGAATCTTCTTTGGTTCAAGTAAACTGTTCAAGTACCTGAGCCCCACCACGACAATTTTCAAGAACATGCGAAAGCAGCTGTCGGATGCTTCTATTTCGAGCACTGGGTCCGAATCAAGCTGGTCAATAAACCAGGGAGACCCATGTACTGGTTCTTTCTCGAGATCATACAGCAAATTTCCGGTGAAAAAATCAAAGAGCATCTCGAGGATAAGCTTGCAATGTCGCCAGCCCCAGAATTTGATGAGAATAAAACAACGATGCAGGAGGGTTCGCAAATAATGGTTTAAGAAGATCCATTGCTCCTTGGGGTTTGACCTGTATGACTCCAAGATTTTGGAAATCAGCTGTTTGACAACGGCCCAGTGGTCATTTTGTAGTTGAAATCGTAGCCCAGACCGAAAGACCCCCAGTTCATCGATCTCCTGGAAAGGGAGCAATATGAAAATCGCTTCCCAGACTCGTTCTAGGTCTTCAATGCTATGATGCGCAAGAACCATAACCCGATCCAAACACTGAGCTTCAACGCCCATGTCCTTAATGGATGTCAGCTGGAGAATGCGTTGAGCGATCACAAGTGCATCCACAAACGGATATTCATCTCGAATTCCAGTTTCACGTTTTTCTAGCTTTCTGTTATCCTCTAGGAATTGTTGAATGTTTCGTACACCAACAGGGGTTAGGATAATATCCATTATCCGTTCTCCGGAGAGCTTCATCAACTCAACAACGGGCCGAGCCCTGGCCAAGTCCATGGTTTCATGTTTTGAGACTTGTAACAATTGGTTCAAGAACACCAGGTTGAACATCTCAATCCCCGATGTGAGAGCAGCTACACCTGCTTCAGGGTCAGGGCTAGATATGAACGTCTCGGTTATTTGAGCAACAAAACCTGTACACCTGGAAACGAAATTTATACGATCAATGGGATCTATGAAGCTCAGATGCTCTGAAACATAGCAAACAATATCCCGGTATAGTCTTAGCACTTGATCCGGAGCAGAAGTGGGCATGGCTCTGGCATCATTTGCTCCTGAGTTAGTCTGAGAGGCTATGAAAGCAAATACCTCTCCTAACTCTGAAGAGACCGTCTCATTCCAGGAACTCCAGTTGTAGATTTTGCCTACATGTTGAATAGTGGAATGTCCACGGTCAATATCTAAGTCTTGAGATAGACGTAGAGACTGAGAGAATTTCCCACTTCCAATGAATGTTGACTGGTGGTAATATGTGCCAGTATAGAGTGGATGGGTATCGAAGTCAAGTTGGTATGGCCGTTCAGGACGATGTAAACCAGGAAGTGTAATAAGGTAATCTTCTTCTGGGTGTGCGAACGAAGCTGTGTCACTAATTACGTTATCGAAGTCAGGGGGTTGACGATATTCAATGGTTTCAACATTGATATGTTTAGGCTGGCGCTTCTTTTTGGTTATTCTGCGTTTTTCTGGTTCTTTGGTAGTTTGTGGAAGAGGAGCAGGAGCTTCTACTGTAGGTTGTCGTAATTGTAGTTGTTGCGGCTCATTTAAGAATCTTGTCAACGTTGGCGGTTGGGATGACGTTTTATATGCCTTGCGAAGAGCTGCAAGGGTACCGTGGAATGTAGATGGCCGCTCAGGAAGGGTGGTAGGAATATCCTCAATATCTAGCTGCGCGGGCCGGGGAACCTGGCTATGAAGGGATGATATGCCATATGGACGTTGGACCACCCAACTGTTTTTCAAACTTTGCTGTCTTTTAATTGGCTTGGTACGGGTTGGATTTTCTGTTGAGTTATCGTCATCATCAATGATTATGGGCTCGGCGACTTCCCCAGGTATGGATATGGGCCTTCTAGCTGGGTTCCCAGCCGGGGTTTCAACATCTGAAGCGGTTGACGAAGGTTGGACACTTGTTTGAGACTTGGGTATCGTCCTCGGGCGTGCGGAGGTTATACTCGGGGCAGGTTGATATTTTCCTGACCTCCAGTTACGCAATGCAGCGTTTGCATCGCGCGTATCAGCCTTTGTGGCTAGTTTCAATACCTTGCGAGATGGGCTTCGACGCCCCTTATCTCTGCGTGAGCGAGCTTGCCTGGCTGCAACTCTTAAGAATTGTGGCGGTGCATTCACATGTTGGTTCCTAACATCCTCCGAATCTAAGATACCCAGCTTCGGTGCACGAGGTTTGTTGGGCCGTGATTTTCGCCGATTGTCTATGGTATCTGTGATTCTTGTCTGCCGTTTCCTCTGAGGCTGCGACTGCCAGCTTGACCTGTGTTCACCATCAATTCGTTCTGAGGACTGGGTTTTGCGTTCCCCCCTCCTGGAAGACTTCTTTGAAGTTGATCGACGAGAGGCTGGGGGGGCCATATAATCAATTCGATTATCTTCCGGGATATCATCGTCATTGTCGAATAATCCAAAATGGTGTTCAAGGCGTTTTTGCTCGCGCAATTCTCGTTCCTTTTGCTGCTGTGATCTTGTTGACGCCCCATCATCCTCAGACTCAGAATCACTGAACAGGTCGAAAGGATTTGAACGAGTAGATGCCTCCTGCTGGTTTTCAATCCTTGCCCGCCGCAATATGGGTTGTGCAACCCCTTTGCCAGCCCTCCGTTCCCGATTCAATACTCTTCGATGCTCTCTCTCAGCAGCTTGTCTCTTGTACTCCTCGTGCATCCCATGGTCAAGTCTAGCAAAGGAAGCAGGAAGGACTCCCTTTATCCGTCGCTGCATCTGTCGAATGATAAAGGATTCTTCTTCGGGGCTATCAGATGAAGATTCATCCACGGGCTGTTCTTCTATAATTGTAACACCTTCTTCCTCACGCTCAACGGTTGAGGGAGGATCACTTGAAATGATATCAGGGTGTTCTAATTGCGTTACTTTGTCGGATACTGGAGTCTGCAGCTGATTCCTAGACTGGGCAGGAGTAAATCCCGGGGGAAATCTAAAAGTATCTGGATCCCTTGGAAGGGCAGAAGACCCCTCTCCAGACGAAGGAGGAGAAGGAGGTACGTCAAAGATGTCGTATAATTCTTGTAGATCGTCCTGCTGTTTGGATTTGGAGCTGGTATTTATAACAACCTGGAGCCTATCCCCTGCGTTTTGGGAGGAGTTTCCGGAACGACGATTCTCCATTATATGAGAAAGCTTACGTCGTTTATTTCCTGCCTGACTAGGCTTGACTGAGCGAAGTCGGGAATTGGTATCATATATATCTCTTAGCTCGTCTCTCTGGCTAGTTGTATCACGATCACTGAGTGACTGGCTCAAACCCGGCTGATCATATATGTCAGGTGAGGAAGGCGGAAGATACAGAGGGCTACTTGACGGAGGAACATTCTCATCCTGAGACTCAAAGCTTTGACTATCCCCTGTGGCCTTTTGAGGCCGCGGTTCACTATTAGGAATCCGTACAGGCTGCAGACCTCTATTCCTCAAAAGTGATCGATACTGAGCGTTCTCCAACATATAAGGATGCAGCTGGATTGCATTTCGCTGTCTCAGGGCCCTCCGGCGGCTTTGGTTCTGCCATTGCAAAAGCCCAGCATCAGTCATGTCAATGTCCCCATCATTGAGTTGAACAGTTTCCTGTTGTTGTGGCAGCTGGAGTTCCGTATCATTTTGTGGTAGTGCCAATGACGCTTCTCCAGACCGAGGAGACTCTAGGAGTGGTGGTACAGATGACAATGGAGATGAGTTCAGACTATCAAAAGGGATATCATTGTCCGGCACTTCAGTCCTTTTGGCGAGAGGGGTAGATTGTGGCTGCTGACGGAATTCCTCAAATTGTAGCTCATCCGGGGACGACGGCGGTTGCGGCTCAGAGAGTGTATTCTCTGAGTTTTCATGGCCATCGGGGCTCTGTCTCCGTCTGTTGCTCGGGCTCAGAAAAGCGTGCAATACAGTTTGATAATCCTGTAGCGGATCGGTATCAAGATCGTCCTCACTCGGGACATGTGTACGCTGAGAACTGTCGAATGCTCTACCCTCATCTTTCTTTTGTGTTCCTTCTTCGACACCATCCTCTCGTCCATCATCGCCTTGCGGAATCTCATAGCCGGTTTCCTCAATATGTGTGCCGTCATCCTCAGCAATCACTGGCTCACCACCAATACCACCGAGCAACTCCTGGCTATCAAATTCGTCTCCTTCGTCTGAGTCTGGAACATATCCACGTTCACGCCATTGTTCCATTTGCAGCACCCCATCCCTTTCACTCCATCAAGAGCAGGAAAACGGCGTCAAAGGTCGAAAAGTCGAAAGGTCGAGGTTGATTCTTCATCAAGCCTGAAAGTCGCGTTCGACGCGACTTAAAGTGGCAGATATCTGATTATGTAATATATTCAACGTCACGAAATTCGGGCTTTTCGAATGCGAAAAAACGAAATAATGAAGAATTCCATCGCTGAAGGAGACGACGCTGGACTATTTGCCTGAGCGAAGATTGTTCCGGCAGACAAGCTGTATAGCTGAGGATGGCTGGGAAAGCGGGACTTTTGCCTGTTGCTCTAGCTGTTGGTTTGGGGATTCTCAATGGTGAGATAGGCTGGTCAATTTTTTTGAAGCTGATATACAGCTGCTAATTTCATATCACTCGACAGGTTACATGGTTTTCAAACCTGCTTATCAAGAGCGAGAGACTCAGAAAACGCTAGGAACACTGTATGTGTTAAATAAAAATACCATTGTTTAGTCGTTATACCGGCTAATATCCACACCAGGTCAAAGGAAACCGAGCCTACATATACACGACAGATATATAATTGGTGGACTGGAAACAGCACAGCGGATAAAACAGGACAACAGAAATGAATAGCTCCTTGGTTGATTGATTAAAGCCGGTTATTCCGCGTTTGAATTGAGATTGGGTGATGCAACAGCAAATTCAGCCGCCTAAAAGACCAAAGCACGCGGGCCCTTCCGTTTTGTGGATGTGACAGGAAAAAGTCAGGATAGCATAGGCTCATCCGTTGGAAGGGGTTTTATACAAGCACTGGCCCTGGCCCTGGCTCTGGCTCTCGCACTGGTGTCTGAGCCCTGTCTTAATTCAAGGATCATGGGTATATGATGCTGATAGCACCCAGAATGGATCATGACCTGAAGATAGATGGCGCGGCCTTTGCATGATGCACGGTTGTACGATATGTGAAGCTACTGTTGTAAATATTCACGGTGATACGCATACAATTTTGCATGGACTAAATTAATATAACATAATAATTTGCAGTCAACCTTTTAACACCGTACTCCGGAATCAGTAACTGGAATCTCAGTCTTAACACAACGAACAAACATCGTATCCTGTGAACCTCTCGAAGGATCAGAAATGACAAAAGCCAGGGCGAGTGAGATAGATAGCTATATCTCTTCAACAAGCTTTCCGATATGAGTGGCAGGGGTACTAGTTGGGTTACTGAATATGTTCCCAGCAGGAGTACCAAGCCATTCATTTGGAACCCCGATGCGGTAGCCGTTACGGTTGATAACGCATCTAATCATCGTGGGATCAGGCTTTTCAGGTTCCTGGGGCTCTTGTTGACCAGGAGTGCTTTCTCCAGCGGCTTCAGCAGCACTTATCTTGCCACGGCGTTTGGGGGCTTGTTTCTTCAACAGTTTATTTATAGTATCCATCTGAAGGGTTGTTAGCTTCTAAGAACAGGATTGGAGTTAGATTCTGTGTTTATATACCTTTTCTTCTTCGTTGCGCTTCTCACTGAGATTCTTCCTTCTTCTTGCCATTTCTGCACGACGCATGGCGTGTTCTTCTGCAGTTAGGTGTTTCTTGACTTGTGGTTCTGTACATTGAGGTTAGCACCGTGAGACATGCTACTTTGCAAGGAGCGACCCATACCCATTGGCAGTTGCAGGAAATCACCTCCAAGCTCGATACGGCCGCGCTGTCGTCTGGTCATCTTACTCAGGTCGGGGGTGCTTGACCTGCTTCCACCCATGAGCTCTTCATCAGACTCATCCTCCTCGTCCTCCTCTTCCTCGGGTTCGTCATCGTTGGTTTCAAGTCCCAAGGTATCATCCTGTCCGCCAATATCGTTATCGGATTCCAGTTCAGAGAGTCCTTCCTCCTCATCTTCTTCTTCTTCGTCGTCTTCCAGAGCAGCTCTTGAATCTGTCTTTCTCACTTTTGTAGCAGCTGCAGGAGTGACTGTAACAGTAGGCCTAGAAGCCGCCTGTTTGGCGATAGGAGATACCGGTGGAGCATCATCCATATCGATATCGCCCTCAGCATCGATATCAGGTTCACCATCAGCGTCTAGGTCCGAATCACCTTCGGCATCAATCTCGTCATCTTCTTCATCTTCCTCGTCTCCAATGTCCGAAGGATCGTCGTCCTCATCTGAATCCACCTCCACGACTTTCCTCTTGGATCGACTGTTCCTTGGCCCTGTCATGATGACATTCTCTGTGAAGATATTACGAGGCTTGTCGAGATCATCTTCTCCATTTGTCACCTCACGGAGCTTGCTTGCAGGCATTTTGACGGTAAGTCGAATTGATTTCCTTCGTCCTTCAGGAGATGTAGATGGTGACCGAGAAACGGTCACTGTTGTGATAGTTGTAGATCTATTCCTTGTAGAGCGCCTCGACCTTAACGTCGCGCCGATAGAGTCTGTGTTCATAGTTAACTTGGTGACACCAGCACGAGAGCGAAGAGAGAGAGTGGAAGACATCTTGGGTATATTGATATCGGCTTGCTGGCGGGGGTGATTTTGCTATCTTCTGTGATGATGGGTGTTGACGGTGAAAAGGAAGAGGGAGAGGAAGAAGCAACAGAAGAAGAAGAAAAGACGATGTGTTATGCAAAGAAAACAAGTTATATAGAGGGGCGGCGACTTCTACCCGCGGTGAATATCTCTTTCTCTACTGCAGGTTGGAGTTCCCGCGGAAAGGCAGCAAGAGGGAAGATGCATATCACGACCGCTCTCTAGTCTAGAAAACAAGGGCAGAAGGCAGCAAGGCAGCTCCAGTGAAGATAAGCATCAGAGCCGGACTAGAGCTTCATCGGCCAAATAATTAGAGGGAGGCCGCTAGCATGCCCGTCTATCCTTGCAATCCCCATTTCAGCGTGGCCATGGCATTTGTTGTTGGGTGGTCGATGAAAAGATATGGAACTCCCAGCCAGCCAGGACAGCCAAAAAGAAAAGGGAGCAGATAGGAAGCAGTTCCGGTGGGTAGAGGCAGTGGGGAGACGGCAGGGAAATCAGGGGAATCCTCTTGCTCAGGGCATATATACGAATATAGGTGTGCTATATGTGCATCGGCCTGCCTTACCTGCTAGTTATATCCTCCTTATCCTATGAATGTACGGCGGCTGGCATCGCTGCTGGATCCGTGTCGTAGTCGTACGAGCGCTGGACCGGCAGTGAGCTTCTTCCTGTTGGCGGAGACGCTTGACTGGTCTTTTGCTGTGCTGGTCATGGATCTGATCCGTCCGTCGTTGGGGGATGCGCCGGGAGAAGACGAAGGCCGCTCGTCCGCCACCAAACTGTGAGTAAGCCTGCAGCGAATCGCAAGGCCGGGGGGGGGGGGGGGGGGGGGGTTCCTCTGGCCGCAGGGCAGTGTCACCAAGGCAGCTCGACTACGCCTCTGGGTCTCCTATCCTCCAAAAATTGCAAGATATCAAAGTCTTCGGCTGTTGCATCCTTTTATAGTCTGAGGTTGAAAATTGCCAAAATCAGGCATTTGGTGATGTATTTTTCGTATTCGTAAATTACAAAACTACATTAGTCATCACTAAATTTTTGCGGAGATAAAAGTATAATTGTAATATTACTACCGCCATACCAAAGATTCGAGCCGAGGTAAAAAAGTTGCTGTTGAAGCTTCTCCTGCTTTTCATATAACAAGACGAGAAGACGAGAAGAAGACGAACGAAGAACAGCCGAAGTACAAGCAAAAAGAAAGCAAGAGGGAGACGAGGAGCTACGGCAGCCTGACTCACACGTTATAACCTATACGCGCAATCCAGAGACACCATGGCAGGACCAAAAGACGCGGCGATACCGAGCTGGCAGCAAGCGGCTTCAGACAACAGCAGCACAGCCACGAGCTCAGCGGCAGCGACGGAGAGCAGAGACACGCTTCTCGAGCAGGCCAGACGGTTTCTGCAGGATGAGTCCATATCCGAGGCATCGACAGACAAGAAAATTGCCTTCCTTGAGTCCAAAGGACTCTCAAATGACGAGATACATACCCTACTCGGCATATCCAGAAACACCGAGGCCACCGCCAGCGCTAGCGACAACGCTGGCAGCAACAGCTCAACAGAAGAATCGGAGTCGCAGTCTAAGAAAGAGAGGGCCGGAGAATCGTCGAGTCAACCGACGCAGTCGCCGGCGGCAGCTTTGCCTGCACCAACACCGACAGCATCACCGAGTAAAGATGTACCTCCAATCATAACCTATCCCGAATTCCTCCTACGGCAATCGAAGCCACCGCTTATCACTTTCCAGAACTTCCTATATACACTATATGCCACGGCCGGAATCACAGCCAGCATCTACGGTGCTAGCGAATACCTCGCTAAGCCGATGCTGGAATCTTTAAACTGTGCTCGACATGAGTTCTCCGAGACAGTGCAGGAGAATCTCAAGGGGTTAAACGAGAAGCTTGAAGGAAGCGTGTCAAAGGTACCAGCGTCGTCAACGGCACGGCCAAAGGGGATATCAATGGATAAAGAAAGCGAGGATGATAACGAGTCTGTTACATCTGATCCCACAGAGTTGTTTCATCGGGACATAGCCACACAAACGACAGACCTTGAGCCTACTGCTCCCTCGCAGACAGCGGTAGGGACAGAAATACAAACAGTATCACCCCAAACCGTTATTGAAGAGCACCATTCTCGATTGCAGTCTCTCTCGTCAAGCCTGGCTAGTGTCGTCACAACTGAAAAGTACAGTGATAGTACACAGGGCTATGCAAAAGATCGACTATCAGAATTACAGACCTACCTTGATAGTCTGACATATAGCGCACCGTTATATCTGACCTCCTCGTTATATGGGTCGTATGATGACTCCGCTGATGCGAAGAAGGCGGCAAATGGTGAGGACGAGGCTATTGCAGCTTTCAAGGCAGAGATCAGAAGTGTCAAGGGGACCTTGTTGAGCGCGAGGAACTTTCCGTCTGGTAGCGGTGGGTTGAGGCGATGATCAATGTATATCATGATAGACTTGTATCATCATTAATGACTTTCTCTATGATTGGAATCCAAAGTTAATACAATATACTTGAAAGTAACTGAGAATGGGTATCTAATATTTCATTTGGATAATAATAATGCAGAGACGGGTTTTCAAGATAAGCCAACGAACAAAGCAAGGTACTTAATACATCCATGCCTTATAGAAAAATGCACATTTAAACCAAACGCTCACAGGGAAACCAACTCCATAAACCATGGTAGAGATACAAAAAGGAGTTTGATAAAATAAAAAAACAAGGAAAGTAAGAAACCATCCTAGCAACCGTCGTAGCCATCACTCCTCCATCAACTCTGTTGGAGGACGAGAAGTATGTGCATATATTTTCTTTGGCCGAGCATCCAGGGGGCTTAGATCCATGTCAGAATCCATGTCAGAGCCAACCGAAGTATCTTCAACCATCACAGCTGGTAGGTCCGGGCTGCTTCCATGGTGTTCTGGGTGGTAAATCAAAGTACTGCTTCGGCTTCTCTGTCCCGATCCCTTCATATCTGTGTTCATGGCTGTAGCCACGTCCGTGGGAGAAACAGGTGTCTCTGGTCGATGACCCGACTCGTTAACATGGCTATCAGAGTCATACAGCCGCCCGAGTCTGCCCAGCGCATCAGCCAAATCAGAAGCGTGGACTTCCTTATTCGGCGGCTCCTCGTTGCGCATCATCCATCCGTGCGGAGGACTGGGTGGCGGACTGATAAAGAACATCTTCTGTGACTGGGGTGCTTCGAGAAGATTGCTGCGTCTCATCTCGTCTGAGTCTGTCTGGATAGGAGTGTTTTCGCCAAAGTACACCCGTGCCCGGCCTTTTCCCTGTAGCGGCTCCCTGTCCAGCAGCTGGCGGACTCTGATGGCGTCCTCGACGGTTAGGAACGAGCAGACTATGCGCCGGAAGGACGGCAGAGGGGAGAATGAGTTTAGCGGTGCGGTGGCTGTGATGTGGGCCTTGATAGAGTCGAGAGAGCTCGGCTGGAAGAGCGAGAGGTCGTTTAGGTCTGTGATAAGGAGGGTATTTGATGGAGGTGATGGTTGCTGCAGTGGCGGCACCTCAATCGATAGTGGTGTGCCGCGGCGGGCGCCAGAGCGAGGAGAGCTGGTTCCAGACATCTTAACCGTCTCTGTCTGTCTGTCTTTTCCTTTCTTCTGTCTTCTGCTGTCCTGGTATCCTGGTATCCTGGCGGTCTTCTCTCCTCTTTTATATGTTTTTTTCTGTCTTGTGCTGCGGCCTTTTTTTTTTGATGCGTTGAAGTTGGAAGAAGCAAAGCCGGCTTTTGGTCCCGTGACTTGGTTGTTGGAAAATGCAAGAAAAAACATCACAAGAAAGTCGAAAAACTTGAACTTCAACGACACATTTAAGTATCTCGACGCAGGCAGCGAGCCAGGAACCGGCTGAGACCGCAGCCAACCAGCCTAAGCGCCACTGTGTTTCGTTCAGGGCGTGAGGAAGCCATCTGGCCTCGGTGATCCCACAGACAGAGCGAAGATTCTGCTCAGCGCTAAGCCTGCACAGCCCGCTCGCCGCGCAGTGTTTACCTCGACCGCATGGTCTCCCCTTTTTCCTGCCGGCTGGCGCAGCAGTTCAGAAATTTCCCCCCCTTCTTTACTGTTTGCTAGCCAAGCTGGAAGCATGAGGAGGCATGACTATGGCTGAGCTAGCTCTTTAATCTCCATGACACAATTTGAAATCGCCGCTCTGGGTCACCCCCTGCTGATCCGGTATGGAGGCGCGGATGTGGCGATCATCAACGTCTCGGCTTGAATTTCTCGTCTTTTGGAGAAGGTGCTAGAGTGTAGATTTGTTGAGGGCTGTGTCTGCTTTGTACAGGTAGTCTTATGCTTACTTACGGATTGCATCTACGGAGTACTGCCGGACATAATTTTGCTGCTACGGCCCCTCGCAAATACGCTTAATGCCTGCATTAGGATGATGGAGGCTGTTATGGAGGAGGAGAGACGCCGCGACAGCTGGGCTATGTATGGCTAGATCCATCGTTGCTGCGAAGAGCGAAGCCCGAGAGCAACCCAGCCCTTCTTGGGATGAAAATGGGAAAGCTAAGCCGGCAGGCAGACTGACAGTGAGATGAAAGTCTTATTACGAAGGAATATAGCGTTCTCTCCGCAGACGGATGGTGATGGCGTATTGTGTATACGTATTGGGAGGCTGTCATGTCCCTCTGAACAGCCATAATCACGGAGGTGTTTCCCTGAGAATATCGAGATGCCAGCTGTACTCTTGCAACGGTGCGTGGCATAGCATGGCATGGCTCGCCCGTCCGTCCGTCCGTTATCGACTAACTACGGCTCACCGACAAGTTATTCGGTCAATCCACGGACGGGATAGAACAGCAGAACTGCACATACCCATGATTGTTTTCCAAGCGAAAGCCGGACCTCACCTCGTTCGGGGTACCTTTTATATATTCCCCCTTTTTGTTACTATTATTTCTCATTCACCGCAGGATTATCCAGCACAAAGCTACATAAGACGTACCTATTAGTTCCTTTACTTGCAGCCGTTTTGAAGAAGGTCTGCCGTTGGTACGACGGCAAGGGGCTGCCTCATTGCCATAGCTTCTCGACGGAGCTGTGCTGCGAATCCTCGTCGTGCAACCAGTCGGTTTTGTTTCTTCTGTACACCCGATTGAATCCAAGGTTGTGCCATGCAGCACACATGCCTTTTGAAGCTCTTAATCCTACTGACTAGGGTTATAGCTCGTTACCGCTTGACAAACTTGCTAGAAACAGACTCATTCTTTGGGCAGCACATATATACCCCCTTCGTGTAATCGATGGATCCCCAGTATTCGGGTCCTTTGCCATTATACCATTCTAACGCTGGTTCCTTTGACTTTCTTCGAGCCATGTTTCTGATACCCCATCCGGAGGGAAGAAAAATACTCGCTTCTTTCTTCGTGGACAACTGATGCATTAATATCTTCGGCGTTCCTGCATGAGAGGTACATACCCTCGGTGACGAGCGCCGTCCACAGTGGATACTGAGGATGTTAGACACCTGCTTTAATTTCGGCCATACATGTGAGGTGGTGCAACAACAACGTGTTCCGAATGCATAACATATTCGTTGCGTGCGTTAAAGTCTTTCCCGCTATGTTAAGGATCATCACATGCGATAATCCGTCATGACAGTGATTGTGCTTCCATTCTTGGAAGCAAATTCCTGGATAAAAATGAAGCATCGTGAGAATAGAACAGCTAACAGGTGTGTTCTCCCTTCACCTTGGCTGATGTCGTGAAAGCCGGAGAGCTGCTACCCTTGTTTTCTCCCTTTTTTCTTTTCTTAGCCTTTTCTTTGAATCGGTCTAGTCCAGTCAAGTCGAGCGGAATGAGGGTCCATAGGCCCGCCTCACTTAACGATATCCCAGATTCACCTTTCATGGGATAGCAAAGGAAGGGTCTTCACATCCTGTGCCTTGGAGTTCCAGCGCAATCAGCCTCTTCCCGATCAACAGGACTGACTGGTCACCGGGCTGGAGCCATACAGGACAGGCATCCGTGAGGAATACCATTTGACCACCACCGATAGAAGACATACTATGCTTAAATATAGATACCCAAAAGCAACCGACTTCCCCTTTTTCTTTCTCTCCCCTTCCCTTCTTTTCATATCTTTTAAATGAGCTGAAGAAGTTCTTATATCTGCACCAATCTACCACACACTCGTTAAGACTTACACATTAGGAATTCACCGGATACCAATACGCAACGCAACTTCTTCAATCTCTGGCAAATTACGCCTAGCAAAAAGCTCCCCCTTTCGATACTTCTTGCCTATATTTAATCACCCTTTCAACCCTTTCAACCCTTTCAACCAATCTTACCATGTGTCAGAAGGCCTATTACATTCACGTCTGCGGCCACCGAAGCTGGGGGCCCCTTAACCGCTGCGATAACCGCTACGTCTGCCCAGAAGGAAACACACACTATTATCCCGTCTACCTCACCAGCCCATGTCGATTCTGTCGAACGCCCCGTCGAGGAGGCGGGGATGCTGGGCGAGGAAGAGGAAGAGGGAGGACAACTCGATGCCTCCAAGCACACGCCCAGGCACCAAACAGTACCGTCCCATCACCAATTTCCCAGTCCCACCACCATCCACCAGGTTATTCATCTCCAAATGACGTTGGGGGACCAGGGTCATCTCCTCTACCGTCGCCGCTGCCTCCAGTAAGGATGGGCCATCGCAGCATGGTTCCAACGGGATGTGAATGAAAGGGATGCAAAAAACGCACACCCAGTGAGTTCGAGAGTGCGGATTATCATCTTATGGTAGGACCCTGGTATCCCATCTTTATCCTCCCCGCTGGGCCATATCCCCATGCTAACGTTGGAAGCCAGCTGGATGGATGATGGGTTGGCGTGGGGAACACAGAGAACTGCTACGGGGGTGATTGTTCACCCCAGGGAATGGGTCTGGCAAGGTATGGACCTTGCTGGAGACACGACTCCTACATTTATACGTTTTTATCCTTTTTAACTCTGCCTGTCCTTGAGAGTATTGCCTGTTTGTACGAGAGAAAAATGGAAGAAATTGTCGAAAGCTGCTTCAATCAAAAACCTATTTCCTCCAATAATAAATAGCCTGGAGTATCCTGCATCAAAATAAAATAAAATAAAATAAAAATACAAATAATAATACAAAATAAAGCAAGGAAAAAAAATAAAATAAAACAAAATAAATTGAATATCTGAACCTAAGCATCAAAATATTATTAAGTATAATAGGTTGCCTCGCTGATCCTTGATCGATACCCACCGCCCGTCCAATTTCACCCACGGAGTACTTTGACAGCAAACATCTCAGTATTCTCCATATGTGCTCCATCCGTCTCCATCTGCTTCCTTGGTTACTGTCTGGCTCCCATCTCCCCGCGGCGACGGGCTCCGCAGTGGTTGTACAAGCAGCCTGCAGGCAGCCGCCCCGACAGTCGACTCCTTTTATACACGCAGCATTCATATATATCCGCAGCAGAAGCCTTACCGCAAGTTTGCAAGTCGCACTGAGAAACATCGCCTTGCTTTTTTCCCATCTTCTAGATGCTTCGCAGCCATGGGAAATGCACAAGGGCAAGAAGGGAAATTATATAAGTGGTTGCCCTGCCGAAGGGGCTTATATCGAACGCACTGATATAGC